CAACCCCTTTGTCTTATCGATGATGCAGTGTTACTGCTCTTCCATATATGTTACGCAGAACACTTCAACGTGGACATCGAGGAGTCCCCTATCGTTACACAGCGCACCATCCTAGCTGACCTCATCAAAGCCGCCATTCCGACCTGAACATTCTTCCGATGCCGCCCGGGAAGAATTCATTGATCAGTTCATCACGCTAGTAAGGAAAGCATGAGAAGGTAACCTCCCCAGCTCGAGAGAGGAAATTTCTTCCTCAGGGTTAGGACCAGTAACCTATGGTCCTGAGAGATTCCTTTTGCCAAGCCTATGAAGTCATTCAAAACGTTACCAACTAGCATGGTTACACAATCGTGTAGTACTATTGTTTTAGTGTGGGGTGCTACAGTAAGCTTAAACAACAACAGAGTCTGGTGATGAAATTCCGTTCCAACTCCAGTCTGCTTTGTAAACATGCCAACTGGCTTCTTAAAGTACCACGGGATATCTCTCCTCTGAACAAGGACAACCTGAACGAGAAGTGGCCAACACTTTTTGACGATAATGCAGCCTCACCTTCCGGAGCCCACCACCACCTCGCACCAATCACACACAGATGACATTAACAGCAGCAATTGGGCAGGTCATCTTTACGGACGCTCGTGCGTTAAGCCACTGTTGTCGTCGAGCGTGCAGCAACATGCGCCCAAAGTCCTTGGAGCTTAGCTGCTCTGTTGACCCATATATTCTAACGATGGTTAGACAACAAGTGGGTTTCTACTCTGTGCACGCACAGAATAGTTACTCCCATGTACAAGCTCGCAGTCGTACTGAATCCGAAATATATCGACCGATAACTTCATCTTTCGGTGCTTTCCACAATCCTGCACGCTATGAATGCGGAAATATTCACGGGCTATTGGAGAGATGCAACGTCATTGTGCCGGGGTAGCACTGCTCATGCCGAGACCACTAATGTACAACGGAACATCTGTCAAACAGCAAGAGTTGAACTGAATCTGTTTGTGTTAAAGGGGGAGTTAACCCTGCCTAATTTGATTATACGAAGGTCGTTTGATCGTTTTGGTCGTTTCAATCACCACATTCATTTTCACAAGCCATAAAAGTGGCAATCCTATCATGGGTCTAACGCTTTCCTTCCTTCCCCAACATCACCTGAATGTGCGAGTTCGTAGCGCTTCGCCTGACTAGATAGATTTGCTTTATGACATTCCACAAGGCTCGGAACTGTGAGCACAAGTACTCCTAATGTTTATGAGTGATCACACGGAACTGGTCATTCCAGTTTTTGACCTTTCCTTGGTGTCTCAAGCTATAGAGTGCTACCAAGGCATTAGACGACCGCACAACACTGTAGGTGGACCTACTTAGGGCATGCGAGTTGACAGCTCAGAGCATCCGCTAGTTGAACGGAGCCAACTGTGAATTGTAGAGCATGAAGCACCAGAGCATCTAATTGTATCGGTTCGGGGCGCATCTTTCGCGGTGCAGGAGGATGAGAAGATCGTGTAATGCCACAAGTAGGCGTAACTGACCACTCGCAAACCCAGGCAAATATGAACCGTGTTTCCTTCTTACGACGCACCGCAGATGCGGATTTGTGTGACGGGCCATTCCATGTGCCTTACGAACTTGAGCCTGGGAACAATCCCTCCATGTTTGCATCCCGTACCTCCGCTTCGATATGTTCGATGCTGGCCAGCCAGGAATCGTGTGAAAGCTCACGATTCGCTTTCCCATGGCTGCATCACTCGGCCCACGCTCAGTTCGGTGGGTTCAGCTAACGGTGTATTTGGCTGATTCACTGCATTATCGATAAAGATCTCCTCCGCTGTTCTGGGCCCGGACTCGTTACCAGACGTTGCTCGTGATCCGCACTCGGCTCGATCCGCAAGGCTCGCACTGCCTTGCCTCACCCATTGCGGCCGTTGATAATTCCTTACTATCCCGTTTTGGTTGCTTTTCGGTTTCCGAGGAGTCGGCGACTTCCACCTCGATACATCCGCCCCTTCTCGAAGCTCTTGTTCCTTCTTGTGCCGTGGCCGTAGAAGAGCGTCATTCACCCATCTTTTCTTTCCTCCATTGTAGATTTGGAAATTTGCTCCTTTCCGATCGAGTATGGTGTAGGGGGTCTATCCGGCGTGCCCTTAAATTGTTCGCACTTTGCACTTCAAGATCTGGCCGATCGTTCTACTACACCATGACTTGTTCCCCAATCCTTAACAAGGTCCACTTGTTAGCATCAGGCCTGGAGTCGTAGTTCCTCTGATTGCATGCTTGTCGGCCTTTCGCCCGACAACTATATATATATATATATATATATATATATATATATATATATATATATATATATATATATATAGCCGGGAGAGCCTATGGTGCGCTGAGGCTGGTGGTGGCTAGATCCTGATAGATGGTCTACCCACTGCTACCACTGTTGCGCTATTTGCTCATATCCTGGGCGCCTCCACGTGGCGACCGCTGGGTGGGAGTTGGGTTTCGCCCTTCTCCCTGCTAAGATCCAGGACACCAATCCGCATGAGTCGGCTAACTGAACATGTGCTAGACCCGCTGCCTTTCGGGTGTTCATTTAATCGAAGGCTTTGGCTGAGGACCCGAGTCGTTCTCCTGTCAGGTGTGGGCGCCCTGGCAGTATCCTAGTCCATCCTCTTCGGAGGTTAGGAAGTGGTCGATGGCCCTCTTCCCGTAAAACCTAGCCATGGGAGACAACAGGTTTACGGGTTATAAGCTCACAGCTCGATTGGCGTGGAGCACGGGTGCCACGCATTGTCTCTGACGGTGGGAGGACACCTCCGGGTGTTCAATGGTTTGCTACTGCCCGCCTCAAGCCAGGCAGCCCCTGGTCAAATTGGTGCAAACCCGCCAAAACCCACCTGCGTCTGGCCGTGGTCGCAGGTGCGTATCCTATTACGGTCGCAAAACCCATAATACTTGTTCCAGTACCTCAAAGTCTGCGTGTGACGGTCGTCAAGCAGCTCCCCATCTGTCTCTGCAATCACATTCCCGAGCTGGATCTGCTCCCCACTGCATTGTGGGTCAGGCTGTTGAGCCAAAGGCTCCGGGTGGAGTCCCTCAAGCAAACCTCCGAAGCACAACGACCACCTCGCGTGCGATTGCCCACCAATGCAATCGTATGCCTGCGCGCAAAGCACTCAGCATCGGGTGCTGGAACGTGCGCACACTACTGGACCGGAACTCCAGCGAGCGCCCGGAGCGACGCACTGCACTGGTCGCGATGGAGCTGGCGCGCTACCACATCGATATTGCGGCGCTCAGTGAAACTCGGCTCGCTGAGCAAGGTAAGTTGCATGAAGCAGGTGCTGGCTACACATTCTACTGGGTGGGCAACGCCGCCTCAACACCATGTGAACATGGGGTCGGATTTGCAATATCCGATCGCCTCCATGGCCAGCTGGTGGGTGAACCAACGGGCATCAGCGCGTGACTGATGACTGTTCGCATAAGACTCGGAAGAGGTAAGTTTGCTTCTTTTATAAGCACGTACGTTCCGACCATGTGTTATCCTGATGACACGCGTGATCAGTTCTACACTGAGCTATCCTCCGTGACACGGTCTGTGCCGAGGAGCGACCGACTATTTCTGCTGGGTGATTTCAACGCGCGCGTTGAGCGTGATGCATCGGTGTGGACAGATGTTATCGGTGTGCATGGCATTGGCTCAGCGAATGTGAACGGCGACAGGCTGCTCTCACTGTGTGCCACTCACGGCCTGACGATCACGAACACTCGGTTTGCACTGAGTACGAGTGATATAGCAACTTGGACGCACCCACGGAGTGGTCACGCCCACCTGCTCGACTATGTCATCGTACGTCAGCGTGATATGCGTGAAGCGCGCATGACACGTGTACTGCGTGGAGCTGAGGGTGGCACTGATCACAAGTTGGTGACATATATATATACATACAATTACATATATTTTCGTAAATCTATGTATTGCACTCCCGCCGTGAATCGGCGTAAATTTAACATTCTCTCCCTCGGTACTGTGGCGAGCTGGAGAAGGCGATGGCTGCACGCCTGTGTGATGTGGACTGCGTAGCCACAGTGGGCGACCTGTGGCACCACATTCGCGATCAGGTGACAGCTGCTGCCGAGGAGACCATCGGGCGCGCAAACTGTAAACGGCCTGATTGGTTTGATGACAACCATGCGACGATTGGCGCATTGGTGACGGAGAAGGATGCAGCATTTGCTGCACATGTTGCAGACCCCAGTGGCTTCGGAAAGAGTAGCCAGTTTCGCAAACTTCGGCGGCGACTGACCCGAGAGCTCCGTCGCAAAATTGTTAACTGAACAGTTAATATACAGTTAGCATTCATTTCATTTCAGAGATTAGATGAATTCGTGGTTGTATACCTAGAAACGAGCAGCTTGCTGCTCTAACATTTGACAGAACTTGCTCATAGATGTGTCGTGCCAAGTAATACCAAATAACTGTTCACACACACACACACACACACACACAAACAGAAGCGATGATTCCTCCTGCGGACATCGACGAATCGCAACCGCCACGTAGGGTTATGCTTATCTGAACCTCGACACGAAGTTGCAGAAAAGCTAAGCTATTAGGTTGTATTCAATATACACTAGCAAGCGCTAGTGATTGTTTCACTAGCACAACCGTACCACGCCATTACGGTGCAGTGTCTAGGATGGGAGTTGGTGTGTGATTACAGCCAACTGATCTGCCTTTATTGTCCCTCTAAATCGATGAAGCAACCAGGCTTTAACCCGGTTGTTTTTCTCCATAGGTGACTGAACCTAGCACATCATTGCAATGTCATTCAGGTTCAGTTACCCGCAGCTCTTCTCTACACGAATCCTAGTTGCCACTGCACAGATTGCCTACTGTTTAACAGGTCAGCAACTTATGAGAAATTCAGTGGATCCTTTGTTTTTCTGTCAGGTTAGTAACTGGTTCAAAAATCATCGCCAAAGAGAAAAACGTCCCGATACAGTCAAGATAACAATGGGTGGGAACGAAAAGCACGAACCACAACTGGAGCCAATCTGTATTTTGAGTAAAAGGAAGGTCAGTGAAAGCAGAACCGTCCCAAAACATCTCGGTGCTTTGATTCAGATGCAATTTGGGCCGAATGAACGTCACCATCACTCGCGGGAGAACTGCCTTCACGAACACGGTGGGCCCCAAGGCAGGAACCTAAAGATCAAACCGATTTCTGCATGTGAATTCACACACTATTCATATGCTCGGCGAACCCCGAGCGCTTTACAGATGAGGACATATAACCCAACAGAACAGCTAGAACTTCCATATGACTTGTTCACCAAACACGAACCACCAAATAAAACTTATCGATCTCGTCACTACAAATCGGGCAAACAAATATCTCCATCCCTACCAGAGCTATCATCTTTGACAAAAATTGAATCGGCACACCACTCAAAGACCGCAGATGGTCGTCTAACGCTATTGGGCTCCTGCTCCTTTGCACCACTCTCCTCCACACTTGAAACAAAAGAATTCCTGTGTGCGTTTGCACATGATTTAGGCATCTTTCCATCATGCGAACAGTCTCTGGAGGAGTATCATCAAACATCGCAACAACTCTCGATCCCTTAACGCTGAATCCTATCCGTTCACCATGTAACAATGCAGTAGTCATGCTGTCACATAAAATGAATTTCAGGGCCCTAGTTCCAGCAATTGATGGCACCACTGCATAAAGAGCTGGCTTGGTTTCCAACCCTTTAGTGTCCACCTTACGGAATTTTTCGGTCAACTCCGTCCAGTCACTGTCAAGGGAACGACGGTTCGACAGTAAAACTTGTTGTACTGTGAATATAATTGTATGTCCGCCTCAGCGCAATCTTCAAGGCGAGGGTCAACCTGTAATTCACGATACAGATTTAGGTGGCCCTAAACATCTGCCCACTAGTCATTTATAATTGTTTCATAATGACACTCGGCACTAAGACGATTCAAGTATGTGCATTTATAGCCTACCGTTAGGTTCACATCGGGTGTTTGCTTTGCATTAAACATACTTCTGCTCTAATTCGCACTCTATTGATCCGGGGAGAGAGGTATCAAGGTAAGTGATCAGTAATTTAATTATATCATCATTCAGCTAATCCTCGATAGTCATGACGAAATCCCATGTTTGTGAAGCACAATGCGTAAATTCGGTTAGTTCACTAAGAAGGCATCGTTCGCTGATCTACGGGTAGGACTGCTATTTGAATGTTATGAATGTGCTGCTAGAAGTCTGATTTAGGCTTACTATTGGGTCAATCTGCTGGAGTTCCCCTGCCAATTGCTTTCTTGCTTATCCGTTGGCCCGTTGATTCCAGTCTGGATAAATGACAGTACGAAATTCTTTGGATCATGAATTTCCCCTCAACTTTACCGTATGGCTTCGGATGTTACCAGTGCCAGGGTAGCAGCCACTTTACTGAACTGTTCAATGGAAATTTCTACTCTGTTTACTATTTTGTGAGCCACTGACCATGGTCACGTTGTACTAACCACCCTAAACCTCATTTCGGCCGGTAGGATGAAGCGATGTTCCAAACAATTGCCCAATTGGGTCGGTGCCGTTCTTTCAGATTGCAGCAGCATGTTCTGCACCCGCCCCCTTTGCACTCAGGTGAGAACAAAATTCTTGTGGACTAAGAAATTAAGGGGAATGAGATGATTTCGGAGATGCAACACCACTGCTGCACATCAAGGAACTGCGCTCCGGGCTTAGAAGCAAACTGAGGCATGTGATAGCCTTCTTATTTGCCTATTTTGGACGAACCGTTGACTATTCGTTACCGCTGACAGTATGCTCCAAAGAATATCCGTTGGTATGAGTATCCCACATGATATGTAAAGCCGAACTGCCAACAGCGGGACATGCCACCGTTGGGTCCACAGAATTCAGTGCTACACGAAACAATAGTGTTCACCTTAGTAAACTGAATTTGGAGGGTGCGCAACACATAAATAAATGGTATATTCTCCTTTTTGGCGAGACACGCCTGTGACGGCATGCTAAGGTAAATAAAGCGTTTTCTACTTCAAGGATCACGAATGATCGAAAAATGTGCAACAGTAACGAACATCGATTTTCAATTTTGATAGTGCATCAAAGCTGTCCGTTGCTTCAATGTGTTACCTGATGTTGCACAGGAGGTCTATGATAGGTTTTGTAGGTCACTTGAGGATAATAATACGGTAATGTATAAGGTACATAAATAATTAACTTGCATATTCCTCAACGATGCGATAGGCTGTTCCCTAGAAGGAACACATGAGATATTGATAGATGCTTATCATGCTATCGCATTGAGAATTTTTCAAAAATTAACAAGGGCACAATTTCAAATTTATATAACAAACGTGCTCAGAATCGTTCTGCTATTTTTCCTGTCGTTGAACCAGGATTCTTCACAATCACATGACAGATGTTCGCACCGGGAAAAAATGAAATGAAACGTGAAGGGTTGCGGTCAAAAAATATTATATGTATGTTTTGAAAATTTATCCATGCATCATGTATGCCGTTTTCGAAAGCGTTTTCCAGGGATTGTGATATCGTGAACATATTAATCAACGTTTGGACGGTTAACTACTTACTAACCATAAGTTTAAAATTGCACAGTGCATAGCATATTCTGATATCTCTCGGAAGTTTGTTCCAAAGCTCTGAGTAGTGGAGTAGAAAAAAAAAGTTCTCTGATTCTCGTAGCAAATTTTGGAATCATGACCATTATCACTTTGTTATGTACGAAATATCGTCTGTTTAAACATATGGGAAGGTTGTTACCAGAACTGCGAATTTGGCGGTTTATGATTCTGTAAAGAAAACATAGGTTCCGTTTCATTCTCCGAACTCAGACTGGGTCAAATACAAGTTTATCATATAGCCCTCTGCATGTCAGCTTTGAAGAATATCCACATAGCTATTTCGTGAAGTGTCTCTGGACCCTCTAAAGAACACGCTGGTCAGATTTCCGCAGCTTCGACTGTACTAATGAACAGTATTCCATATAAGACAGTACATATATTTTGTAAAGTCATATGAGAGGTTCCGTGAGGTAAAAGTGAGGGCGTATGGATCCGATGGTGTTCATGACCTTCGAAACTTGAAGTCACAATGTTCGGAAAAGTTAAAAGTAACTGCATATCGCACGCCCAAGTGGAAAACTGCCCTGCATTGCGAGATGTATGTGCCTTGTAGTAATAGGCTGTCTGGCGATACTTGGTATTTGTACGACAAAATAATACATTTGTCCACGGCAAATGACATCTGCCATACTTGGCACCAGGACTCAAGTGCAGATGTCATCCTGAATGAGATGTACGGCTTCCTGCGTATTTGCACTTTTTTGTGAGTAAACAACCTTAACGTCATCAGCGAAGATGAACGTAACGCTATTGCTTATTAGCTGTAATATGTTTTTAATATATATTAGAAAAGGAAGAGGACCAAGGACACTCCCTTGAATCACTCCACTGGTGATTGCTTTCGGTTTAGAGTAATTGTCGCTGATGCGCACCAACTACTGTCTACCAATCAGATGTGAAGACAGTCAATAAAACATCGGTTTTCTAATGTCTATCGCCTTCAGTTCGTTCAGTAACCTTCTGTGAGACATTCTATCAAAGGCTTTTTGCATATCGAGAAGCAGGACTACAACACTGCTTCCGTTGTCTATGACAGCCGTTGTGTGGTTTAAAAAGTCTGTCTGACATGTTGTGCAGGATCAAATTGCATGAAGCCGTGTTGCGAATCGCCGATGATGTTAGCCCTGTTCAAGAATACAAATAGTTCATCTTTCACTATCGTTTCCATTATTCTAGATACTATGGGTGTGTGATTATTGGAACGAAAGTTGTTAACCTATTGGGCGGCGCCATTTTGTGTCGCGGGATAACGACAGAAGTTCTCCATTGAGTAGGGGATACTCCGTTGTTAAAAGAAAGTGTAAACATGTTGAGCAAAAGCAGAAGGAAGCCACTACCACTTATTTTTTTATTAAACAAGAGGGGATCCTATCAGGGCCTGCGCAACTTGAGGAGCATAGGCGAGAGACTTGACCAGTACTTTTCGCAATAGTGAATTCCACTGTGCATATACTTCACGGTTGTGTGGCATGATAAATGCTGGTGTGTCTGATGATTCATTGACCATTGACTCGACAAAATAAGCACTGGAAGCTTCGCAGATATCCCCTGGTTCGTCGAACTAAGTTCTATCAGGAATGGTGATATAATGGTAATTGAACGGGTAATTGAACTTCTTGGTCTGCAGCGCAACCGGAATCGCAGCCAGATTGTTGAACACATGAAGCGGGTAACGGAAAGTGAGGATTGTTAACAAACAAACAACTGGCGTTTGATGAAGTAGGGTAAAAGTGACTAGCAGAAGTAGTAGCTGATGAGCACGTTGTAAAATAGTCCACGGTTTTGCGAGAGGGCGTGCTACTACCCGGTTGTCCATGCCGAAGTAGGGAGTTGACTTATCGGACTCCACCCCGAGACTTTGGCTAAATAACCTAACTTCAAGACAGTGGGGCGAATTTAGGGAATCGTGCCCATTGGGAGGCGTTGACTGAATGTTCAATTCATGCGTCTTTGTTTGGTAGATTACCCAACAGGGGCCCAATACTCCCCATGAAGTCAGCACACCTGCTGGAATACAATGTCCCACCGAGGTGGAACATTGTCGCCGAACACTTTGCTGGAACGGGGACACCCGAACCACCCAGCTGGCACCAGGAGGTAGTTCGGCAAGCCAGACAGTTTACCAAGGAATCGGAAATAGAAGACCAGGTCTCATTTTTGGATGTGTTAGCCACCAGGACGATTGACGGAGAGTTGCAAACATCGGTTTACAGGAAAGGAACACACACCGACCAGATTCTAAACTACTACAGCAGTCACCCGAAATGTCGCAATGTCGTAGAATTGAAACACATTGCAGCATTCTTGAGGCGAAGCGGAAAGAAGATACATACCTGTTCAGATCATTTCACTTAGATTGATATCCACATTCCTTCGTCCGGCGACGTCCAACACAACAAACCTATGACCTCTCAGCCTGCTCAAACGACAACAAAGAGAATCGTTCTACCTTGGGTAAAGAACATCCGAGGTGACGGCAAGGTTATTCAAATAGCACGGTCTTACAGTGGCTCACAAACCAATCGACAAATTGAGGAGAAACCTGTCGAAAGCCGAAGCTAGATCTGAAACACATGAAAGACGAAATGTTGCTTACAAGATACGGTGTCAAGATTGTGATAAGAACTATATGAGTCAGACAGGAAGACGACTGTCTACAAGAATACAAGAGCATAAGAGAACTTGTAAGAACCAGTACGCTCTCTCACTGGTTCCAATACACACAAACGAAGAAGTCCATTGCTTCGATTGGAACAACGCAGAGGTCCTAGTGTAGATGCGCGGAGGACTTCGACAACACGGAACAGCAGAAAACGACAAGAGCAAGAAAGAGTATCCGACAGAGGCACCGGAATCAGTCAGCATAACGCAGGCCCTACCGGACGAGTGGAAAAGGGACCACGGGCGACGACGGGAAGAAAGTCTGCTCCCGGAAGATCTCAAACGAT